TGCTACTAGGGGCTCCTGGCCTTACTACTAGGAACAAGAGGCTACTAGGGGCTCCTGGCATCGCTCTATACCCTGTTTGGAGTGTCTAATTTTAGCTCAGAGGTGATTCGGTATCCATCAACCAACCCTTGTCTAGGGGGCCCCGGTATACAGTATATAATGCATGTGTCGATGCCTAGGTGTAATCATGGGCTTCGATGTGTCTGCATATGTCAGATAAAGCAACAGACACTCTTTTGTGACAGCTCATGCCCAACATCTCTTCCACAAGTGGAATCACCGTCAACTCGCATGACGTGATGCCGTTCTCTATTTATTGCCACCGGCGTACCTTCTGACCGGCGATCGCGTCGGGCAAGCTGGTCCGGTGTGCGTCCATCATGTAGGCTCTGGCTCTTGTTTTGAATTGTAATTAAAGCATATTGAAGCCTCTTCATATGGGGGGCCTGAAGCAAAATCAAGAGTTGCTGCTTCGAACCACTATGGCTTATGGCCTGCTATGGCTGAGTTCTCCCAGGCCACGGATTTCAGTTGGAGGCTTGTTCCAGGAAAGCAGCCCCGTTCGGAAATGGTCCATTTGGCCACCCAAATGGTTCTCCCCTGTCGCATCCGAGTCCAAAAGCTGACGCCGAAGCTGCCTTTTGAGTGGGTATAGGACACGCTGACTCACTCACATGGAAGTGGACAATGAGCCATTGGACGACGACTTTCCTCTACTTACTCCGCTTCCGGGTCCATGTGTTTGTGCGAGCGCACAGCCCACCAGAACGGGAGAGATCCCTCCAGTCTGTCTTCTTCCAGTCTGCTTCGGACTTGCTTTGACCCAGTTCCTCAGTCGCCCATCGAAGAAAAGGCGCCCCACGCCTTGACAACGCCACCACGCTGTCGCCTGAGATGTGACAGGTGAGACGCAGCTGTCCAGGCCTCCTGACCCTCCTGGACCTGGGGCACGTCTATGGGAGACCCCAAAAGGAAGGTGCTGGCACTTGATGGTACTTGGATCTCTCCTGTTCAACAAGCTGAGGGTCGGAAACAAGTTCCAAGTGATGTCAGTCAAGCACGTGCAGAAGATCACCTCCAAACATCCAGAATCTTTAAAATAAAGCAGAAAGCGCGTTGTTGGACTGTTCATCAAAATGACTCTCAAAATGATCTCGGCCTGCCAAGCCCTTCAAATTCGAGCCACCACCTGCCAAGGTCTCCCTGCCCACCTTGCCTCTTGGATTTCGCTTTTGGGGAACCGCCACGCCGTCCAACCGCAGTCCACAGGGGACGAACACGCCACGGCTGAGGCTACGGGCTCCTCGTAGCGAATGGCCGGGTCGAGCTCTAAAAAGATGCAATCCTGCGGTCGAAAGCGTCCACCCATCGCCACATAAGGACGGCGATGCGACACAAACAGGGGGGGCCCCTGGTTGCTTCCCACGGCACATGAACAGAATAGACAACTAAGGAGGTCAGCTTACCAGGGTTTGGAGCTCCGGGTTTTGACCCGCAGCCAGCAAGATGGAGGCACTTCTTTGTCTCGGAGCGCGGAGCCACACCCTGAGGGTACAAATCCTGTCACCCCAAAGAATCCTACGTTTCGCACCTGTGTGAGCTTTGGGAAGAAAAGTAGGGTTCCAAGTGCATCGGTCCCAAGGGGCAGGGCTTGACCTGGTACTTGATCAACTATCCATGGTGTCCCACCTCAAGTCCATCCCCTGCAACAAATGAAACATGCGACCAGGTCTGCGGCATCGGACGCTATCCCCGATGCCATCGGAACTGCCCCGCCTCTTTGAGGATGAATCCAATGTCGCCTGGCAGGATGAATCCATCGACAAACCGTGATGGAAATGGCGTTCAAACAGGCGGTTTCCAGCGTTCAAACAGGTGAGGGGGAGATGTGTCAGGAAATTGAAAAACACAGGGGATCACTGTGGTTAATGCAATTGCATTTGCAGTGTAATGTCCAAGGTTGAAGCTAAAACCATATTCGTTTGACAAACGACCACCCACCAACCAAAACATGTCGAGATTCCTACGCCCCTCCATACCAAAATTGAACACCAGTTCATCAAAAAGAACAACATTTCGCCAACCGGTCGAGGTTCCAAAAACGTCTGCCAAGAACCACAAGGGTGAACCGACCACACAAAGAACCACGACCCCTGAGTCGTCTTGGATGGTCTTGGGCTGGCTGTGGGTCCCCGAAGGAGGTCTGTTCACATTTGTCACATTGAATTACTTTGGTGCTGTCCAATGGTCCAAAAGATTGACATCTAGCTGGCAATCTTGATTTGCTCTATTCCCCTTCTATGCTTCCGGTTCTTGATTAGTTTGTTCAAAACTTTAGGATGCAAACCAAGGAAACTACCAAGGAAAGCAATATTCAAGAACACGGGAGCTACAGCAGACCAGATACAAGAGGATTGATTGGCCGCTTGAGCCCTGGCAACACACACCAAAACATATTCGATGCTGTTTCTTGATGATGCCTCGATTCTTTCAAGGAGGAGCCGCTCAGAAAGAGTACAGTAGGGCTCAGCAACTTACGAGGGAGAGGCCTTGCGGCCTTGCCTGAAAAACACACTTGCATGAGCAAAGGCTATATCAAAGAGTCAACTTGCACAAATGAGGGTGGTATTGCATGATGAAGGCGGCTGCTGGATAAGGTAGCGTGTTTGATGATGTTTGTGTGAAGGCTTAGGTTCTACGAAGAATGTCATGTAGTTACAGTATATGGATATCGATGTGAAACCACCTTGTAAACACATGTTGAATGAGAATCACCACATGTTTAAACAGAAGTAAATCATGAAAAGAAAAATTGTGGATTCTTACAAGGGCAAATTCCCAAAGTTGCATCATAGTACCAAGCTGGGTTTGCTTTATCTAGATCATGGCAAGGGAAAAAGCTTTTCATCACATGGGTTTACACCAAAGTTGCCACTCAAGTGCAATGCCACAGCCCCCTTCACACACAGAAGATGGGCCCCCTACGTAGGTTAATAAGTGTTCTGCCACAACCTGGTCTACAGGCTGGGTATTCTGAACTTTTGATTAAATGAACCCCCATAGGAAGAGGTTTTACAATCCGGAGTTTATTCATCAAGATTCTACAGTAGGGAGAGCTGGATGGTTGGTAACCACCCCGTTCCAGTCTGTCTCTGGTGTCGTCCTACCCCAAAAAGAGCTTGGTTCTCGCCTGTGTCGATGCAGTCGAAGACCCGGTTGATGTCGGACTCGGCCGCTTTGAAGCTGCGGTTCACGCAGAAGGACACGAAGCCATGCCTCGCCACCTGGCGCGTTGGGCGGAGCGAGCGGACGGATTGGCGCTGAAAGGAGGGTGGTTCTGTGCGAGTCTTGTTGGAGGGAAGGGCAGGATCAAAAGCGGGGAACATACGTATAATATATAACATATAATACAGTATATGAAATAAAATATATAAAGTATAATATTATACTATATATATGTGTGTGTGTATATTTATATATATTTTTTTTTTTTCTGGAACTTAGGCATCTTCTCAAAAAGGATCAAACCGACTGTGACTAAGATATGATCCCACCAACCTCCCCAGTACAGCAGCGGCTTCGGCTCAGCATGCGGCTCCTCTTTTTCGGCCGCCACGTTGGCGGTTGCTTGAGCGAGGCTCGTTCAGTGTCGTCCGCCCCCGCGTTCGGCGGTGAGTCCAGAAGATCCAAGGTCAAAACTCAAAACCACTCAAAAACATTCGGGTGGGTATGAGATGCTTTCCAATTTAGGGTCTTGAAGTCTTGGTGTCTGAATCTGGAGCGAAGCAGGAGACCTCCAGAAAGTCTTGGTCTTTGGGATCTTTTGCTCATCCATGTCGGTGGCCATTAGGGGAGCGGACCGGTACTTGGTACCAGTAAAGGCGAAACGTGGGATGGCTGCGGCTATCCCGACAGCCCACAACCACAAGTGACAAGTTGACCGAGCTTGCCTGCCCTTCTTGGAATAGCCACCCTTGAGTCTGAATTATCAAACCAATTATCAAAACATGTTTGCCAACTCTGACGAAGAGATGCAAAGAGACTTGGTCAAACTCGGGCTCTTTCTGAAAAATATTCCGAGAATCATGATCAGGCACTGTGAGGAATTATGTACACACATATGGTCACATATGTATATGCACATAGTGCGTCTGTCAATGCGGGCGTTAAATCATCCACACCTCACTAGGCAGCTGATGTCGGCCTTCCCTCATCTCATCCACCGGCTTCAGCACATGACTTGCTCGGAGCACCTGCCGACCGCGTTCCCAAAGCGCCCTTTTTCGGACGTGGACCACCAGGCACTCATCTTCTCATCTCTTCCCCAAAAGATTGCAAATCTTCTCAGGAAAAGGGTCCCTTTTCTTGACGAAGAGAGCATCTTTGAGCATACTGGTGCCGAATCTTGGTCGGGTGGCCATCACCGGATTCCGCAGAAACCACTCGTCAGCGCCGAATTTTGACAATTCACTTAAGTGGAACCGGAAGACAATTTAGATATTCCACAGGATCCCAAATTTCATGCCTTCTTCTCAGGCAAACGCTGCGGCGCCTTGATCGAGGTGCTGCGACCGCCCATTCGCCCAGTGGTGCACTTGACGGATGAACCAAGCTATCAGCATCGGAGTAGCAACATAGCTGCTGCGAGGCAAACCCACCCACTCCGCCACATCGCCGGAAACGCGCTCCGATTGAAGAGCACCCAGCTACTGACATAGAATCCGGCATAACATGCCACGCTCAACACCGCGCAAAGCACGACGAAAAGGTTGCGCAGGACCTCTCCGGCAAAGGTGGCGCCTCTTTGGCGGAAGCGACGTGCCAGGAAGAGAAAACTGTGGAAAGCGAAGGGGCACAAAATCAGTAGAATCACCTCAGAATGGCCATTTTACGTGCGAAGCTGCGCCCAACACGGTCCGATGCGTCATTCTGTCCGACCTCCTCCGAAAGCATGCGTTCACCCGTCCGACGCGCGTCCCGCTCTGCCCTTCGGCCGTTCGGCCAAGTTACGTGAACAGAAAGACTCAAACCAGGACTGTCCAGGTGTTGAATGGACAATGACTTGGACACCCTTTTTTTCTCTAAAGCTAGAGGCTCTTGATAGGATACTCCCCTTTCAGGCTTCTGGAATTGGCTCACTGATTGAATATGATCGAATGAAGAAGGGAAAGGCGCTCCTCATGAACCCAACAGCTCCAAACAAATCCTGTTTGGACACCAAGTCGCCAGCCCATCCACCAGGTTCCCCCAAGCAATCCACTTGAGAGGATAGGGACGTGTGAAATAGGAGGCCGCCAGGTCCATGAAGGCCCACAACAAGGGCGTGCAAAAGCGCGGCACATCTTCAGCGAAAAGACCTGCTCCTGAAGGTCCTTGCGGCAATCGATCAAACCGGTGGGTCGAGTAGGTCAGAAAGCGTGACCGTGACCGTGATGTCGAGTGAGTCAAAACCTGGACACTCTGATTGACCCCAGGTCAAATGAACAGATTCCTCTGTGTTCAGGACGTCCACTGGGGGAGGTTGAGTTCCTCACAGCCTGGGGTAGATGGATGAAGCAGGCCATGGCCATGGCTCTTACATCTCTTTCCGGCCTCGGGGGAGGAGTTATTCATTAACAGGCAATCCATAAATGTAAAATGCGGGCCCATGCGGGCAGCTCTTTTCACGAAGGGCTGTTCTTTCCATAGAAGCAGTTCTTGCAATGCAGAACCTCGCCTGTGATTTCCTGCAGCGCACTTCATACTTGATTGTTTTTTGGGGCGCGACCAATCATTTGCCAGGCCAACGCCCAAACGTTAAACCTCTCAGTTTGATACATGGGACTTGCTCAGTTCTTCCTCCTTTTCAATCACCTCCCCATTTCAGAGACTAACCTCATGCATGACCAGCCCAGAGATTCACGAAATATATATGAGCCAGCCAGACCAAACGTCTTAACAAGATCTTCCAAGACTCTGAGCTCATGGCTTGCCACACCTCCGAGCGCACATAGTTCTCGAAGTCCTCTTCACTGCCAAACCAAATCTTCAGGCATTCCTTCACCAGCTGTCCAGCGCCGACTCGGCCTGAACTTTCTTCGGAAACTCAGGTGGCCAAAGAACAGCAAAACGTGTTCGAAACGTGGTTTTGAGAATTGATGGTTTCCCGGGCTTCCCGTAGGTGAACAATCTCGAAACTGGAAGGCAAAATGTATGGCTCACCCCTGAGCCATGGTTGGCCATCATTTCAGTCCATAATTCGTACCATACGTACTTCACCGGCTTCAACCCCCCAAGGATGCAAACAATAGGCCATCAAACGCGCCGAGCTCTTCACCCCCGGCAAGCTTTTCATTGAGCTGCAGGCGCAGCGGAACCGTTCTGTCGTATGTCCAAGTCCACCCAAATGTCCAACTCGTGACAGGGGAGGTGATGTCATGAGAGCATGAGCACGCATGAGATCTGAACACCTGACAGCTCTTTTTCGCAAGTCCTGCGCCAAGGCAAGGCTGTGGGGAACTGGCACCAGACCCGACCAGTTGGTTCGCGACATGGGGGACTGGTGGGGCTCTATTAGACATTATTAGACTCTATAGGTGCCATGACCCATCTGAAATGGTTTTCAGAATCTTTGAGACCTTCCTCAAGAGAATCGAAGAAGAAAACGGAAAGCATAGGAAAGCCGATCAAACGAGCCAAGATTAGCGCAACATTGCAACATGAGAAGTGAAGAAACGATAAGAAACGTATATGGTTTGGCTATGTTTTGTTGGGACCTCTCTTGCGGGTCTGCTCTTGGGTTCGGAATTTAGCATCAGCAGAAAGGTTCCAACACAATGCTGCTGATGTCACACCTTGTCCAGAAACACAGCTTTGAATTCAACTACCATTCTCTGGAATAAGACTTATTGCGCAACTTCAGTCAAACACATTGTCATAATCTTGCGTCGTGTGAAACATGTTGTGTCGGGTGGCGTAGCACACGCCAAAACACAAACAATACAAACTGATATGACTCATAGATATGAGGCGTGTGGTGTTGGAGTAGCACGGCTAGATTTTCTGGGCGTTGGTGGCTGGACCTCCTGTCGGGACCAAGCTTCGGTCGCTTCGATTTGAACTTCTGGGGCCTTGCAGAAAACTGACCCTCCGGGCATTGACCATGGCTCCAGTCGAAACAGCTCAGCACAATACAGCTAAACAGCCTAAGAGTCCGAAAAATCCAACTAGACGACGAGTGGCCCGAAAGCATTTTTCATCACGTAGGAAGTCAGAGTGTGAGTTATCTGTTAAGTGTTCAGTGTGAAGTGTTAAGTCGAGTGAGCTGAGGCAGTGTGTGGGTCTCTGTGTGTGTGTATCTATGTCTGTGTGTGTATGAGTCTCTGTCTGTGTGTGTGTCTTCGAGTAAGTTGAGGCAGTGCGTGGGTCTCTGTGTGTGTGTCAACCTTTTAAGAGAGCCGGGTGGTCGGGAGACATGACTCAGCTGCAGGGGCGCCAGAGCAGCTGCGAGAGATGACTCAGCCGCGAGAGATGACTCATCCGCGTACTAAAGTTGTACTGCAAAGTCACCAGTTCTCAGCTTCCAGCTCCCCAGATACTCCGCGTACTAAAGTTGTACTACAAAGTC